ACCCCAGGGGTCAAAGGGTTCTTTGGAACGGGAAGGGACAATTCCTGGGGGAACTGAGGGAGCTGGGAATGTCTCCAGGTCACCCCAGGGGTCAAGGGGTTCTTTGGAATGGGAAGGGACAATTCCTGAGGGAACTGGGGAGTCCTTGCAGAGCTGGGAATGGCCCCGGGTCACCCCAGGGGTCAAAGGGTGCTTTAAAGGACCAGTTCCCTTCCTTTGGGAATGTCCCCAAAGCCACCCAAGGAGTTAAATGACCAATTCCCTTCCTTTGGGAATGTCCCCAAAGCCACCCAAGGAGTCAAGTGACCGGTTCCCTTCCTTTGGGAATGCCCCCAGGTCATCCCAGGATCCGACTGCTCTCCTGAAGGACCAGCTCCCCTCCTTTGGGAACGACCCCAAACCCACCCAAGGAGCCACCCACCCAACCCACCCTCGGGATGGGACCACCCAGGTGCCAGAAAAGGGGGTTTTTCCCCCCAAATCCCCCCCCAGCCCCACCTGGAGCACCCCGAAGGTGCACTGATAGCCCATGCGGACGAGGCAGCGCAGGGTGAGTTTGAGCACCATGGAACGCTTGAAGGACACGAAATTCCGGACGTTCTCCAGCAGGAAGAAGCGCGGCCGGTAATAATCACAGTAACTGCAGGGCACAGGGGGCACGGGGACGTTTGGGACCGCGACACCCATTGGGCGTCTCCTACCCAACCCAACCCAACCCAACCCAACCCAACCCAACCCAACGGTTGGGACCGCGACACCCATTGGGCACCTCCCACCCAACTCAACCCAACCTAACCCAATCCAACCCAACGGTTGGGACCGCGACACCCATTGGGCACCTCCCACTCAACCCAACCCAACCCAACCCAACGGTTGGGACTGTGACACCCACTGGGCATCTCCCATCCAACCCAACCCAACCCAACAGTTGGGACCACGATGCCCCTTGGGCACCATCAACCCAACCCACCCAACGGTTGGGACCACGACACCCATCGGGCACCTCCCACCCAACCCAACCCAACCCAACCCAACAGTCTCCCCCACCCCAAACCCCCCCTCCCCGTTGCCCACCTGAGGAAGGAGACCACCAGGGAGTTCTTGAACTTGGAGTAGGTGCGGGAGTTGAAGCGGTTCATGCCGCTGAAGCCCTGGCAGGGGGGGCCCCCGCAGAGCATCTCCACATCCCCCTTCTGGGGCAGCTTCTGGCCCAGCGAGTTGGTTTTCTCGCCGGCCATGACCAGCTTGAGCAGCACGTTGCAGTCCTCGGTGAACACCGTGGTGCCGGGGTTGTTGAGCCGGAACGCCTGCGCCGCCGGCTCCCACATCTCGATGGCCCACAGCGTCTCCGAGACACCTGGGGGGGCAGACACGGGGGGTCAGTGGGGCACATGGGGGGTCAGTGGGGCAGGGATGGCACACGGGGGGTCACCAGGGCTGGGACTGCACATGGGGGATCACCCAGGGACACGGGGGGTCACTGGGGCAGGGGTGGCATTCGGGGGGTCACTGGCATGGGACGGGACATGGGGGTTCACCAGGGCAGGGATGGCACACGGGGGGTCACTCAGGGACACAGGGGGGTCACCAGGGCTGGGATGGCACAGGGGGGTCACCAGGATGGGATGGCACAGGAGGGGTCAGCCAGGGACATGGGGGGTCACCGGGATGGGACGGGGGGGATTTGGGTAGGGAGGAGAGAGGGGAGTGAGGGGGAGGGCGGGAAGGGGGTGAGGGACGTGGAGGAGGGTTTGGAGAGTGGGAGAAGGGGGTGGAGGATGTGGATCTGGAGAGCAGGAGAAGGGGCTGGAGAACATGGATCTGAGGAACATGGATCTGGAGAACATGGGGAAGGGTCTGGAGAAAATGAGGAAGGGTCTGGAGAACATGAGGAAGGGGTGGAGAACAAGGAGAAGGGGCTGGAAAGCAGGAGAAAGGGCTGGAGAACATGAGGAAGGTGCTGGAGAACAAGGAGAAAGGGATGGAGAACATGGAGAAGGGTTTGGAGCACAAGGAGGAGGGGTTGGAGAGCAGGAGAAGGGGTTGGAGAACATGGATCTGGAGAACATGGGGAAAGGTCTGGAGAACATGAGGAAGGGGCTGGAGAACAAGGAGAAGGGTTTGGAGCACAAGGAGAAGGGGTTGGAAAGCAGGAGAAGGGACTGGAGAACATGAGGAAGGGGCTGGAGAACATGGATCTGGAGAACACGGGAGCCCAGAGGGGGAATCCCAGGACTCACCTGCCTGGTGGAAGCCCTCGGACAACCCCCCACAGCCGGAGAACACGTCCAGGGTCCGTAACTTGGGAAGTTTGAGCTCGGCCTGTTCCTCGCTCTGCTCGGAGCTCACCGGCTTCCCTTTGCCTTTCCCTGGAAAAGCCACACCCAGGGCCAAGTCATTCCCTCTGGATCCTCCTCCTCCATCCATCCAGCCCCTCCCACCCCCTTTCCCACCCGGAATTCGGAAGGGAAGCCCCTCCACTGTCCCCTTTTCCACTCAGCAGCCTGGAAGAGCATTCCCAAGGATCTCATGGACACAGGGATAATTCCCAGGGCTCTCCCTGGGTTGGGAATGGGATCCAAATCCCAAGGTTATGGAGCAGAGGGTTGGGGGATGAAATCCCTCAAGGATCAGTTGATTTCCAAAGGATGAAATGCCCTAAAAAGGCCGTTCCGGGATTCCCGTTGGGAACGCCGGGATGGGGGTGGGATCACTCACCTTTCCCCTTCCCCTTCCCCTTCCCTTTGTTCCCAGAGCTCCGGGCGTGGTTGGGAGGGTCCTCAAAGCTCTTGGTTTTGGCGTTGTAAGCCTGGGAAAAGGAAAAACCAAGGATTTGGGATGGACAGGGAGGATGGGGAGGAGGGTCTGGAGAACACCAGGACATTCCCAGCTCGGGAATAACGGTGGGATTGCCAAAAAAAACACCCTGAGAGCTGCAAAAACAAAGGCCAGAACCATGGAGTGGTTCCAGGATTCCACAAAATTGGACCCCCAGGGACACATCCAGACCCCCCAGGGACACATCCAGATCCCCCAGGAACACATCCAGATTCTCAGGGACACACCCAGAGCTCTGGAAGCCCAGCTGAGCATCCAAGACTTATTCCCCAGGATGTTGGAATCAGCCCCAAATCCTTGCTCTGCCCAACTCCTCCACGGAAACCCCCCCTGGAGAAGCTCCACTGAACCCCTGGGAGACTCCAGACCCCCAGGGACACATCCAGGGACACATCCAGACCCCCCAGGGACACATCCAGACCCCCTGACTTAGCATCCAACTCCTTCCCCAGGATGTCGGACCCAGCCACAAACCCATGGAAACCCCCCCTGGAAAAGCTCCACCGAACCCCTGGTGGCCTCCAGCCCCTTCCAAGCCCCCTGGAACGTCCCTTCCCTCACCTCCAGGAAGTAGAAGCGGTCCAGGCCCCCCGAGGAATAGTCCTGGATGCTCTGGGTCAGGTCCTCCCCGTAGACGACGGAGCAGCGTCCCTGCACTGCCCGGAACTCCACCGTGGCCTCCTCGTCGCTCCAGTAGAGCAGGTTGATGTCGGCGTGGTAACTGGCCTTCATGGACTTGTGCGTGTTCTCGGGCCTGCGGGGAGCCAGAATTCCCAGAGGAACACCCCTTGGATTAGGGGGAATCGTCCTGTCGGCGTCGGCCCCGCGTGGGTTTTCCCGCAGGTTCCCGAAGGGGTGACACCAAAAAAGGGGGTTTTTGGGGGTTGGGAGGGAATTGGGGGTGGAGGTGGGGCTGAGGGGATCCGGAGGGATCCCAACACATCCCAAAAAAACACACCCTGGATAAGGGGGATGTTCCCACTTTCGGGAACCGACCGCGACCCTCCAACGACTCAGAGCTTTCCCAGCCCCCCAAAATCCCCCCGGGGGCACCTGTAGAACTTGTAGATGGTGAGTTTGATGTCGGCCTCGTTGGGTTTGCCGTTGCTGCGGATGTTGCAGAAGATGCCCTTGATCCTGCCCACCCGGTACGGGTCGGGCGCGTCCAGGTTGCTGCCCTTGATGTACTCCGAGTATTTCCGGTAGTGCTCGGGGTGCAGCTCCTCGTCCACAGCCTCCTTCTTGGGCCTCTTGGCCGGGCTGGCCGGCTTCACGCTGGGGGACAGGGGAAAAAAGGGGAGGCAAGTGGCCAAAAAACCCCTCGGGGACGCGGCGTCGGGTTCAGGGTTGGACTCGGAGGGCTCTGCTCAACCTTAATTCTTTGGGGTTTATAGGAACACCTTTGTTTTTATAGGAGCGCCTTCATTTTTATAGGAGCACCTTCATTTTTATAGGAACACCTTCATTTTTACAGAAACACCTTTGTTTTTATAGGAATGCTCTCATTCTTTATAGGAGCACCTTCATTTTTATAGGAACACCTTCATTTTTACAGGAACACCTCCATTTTTATAGGAACACCTCCATTTTTATAGGAACACCTCCATTTTTATAGGAACACCTCCATTTCTATAGGAACACCTTAACTTTTAACCCAAACTTCAGGAATTTCGGGTCTCGGCCGCCCCGTTCGCAGCTCGGAGCCGCCGCCCAAAAACTCCACGTTCCGCTCCCAAAACCCCACCCCAAAAAAAAACCCCTCCCGGGACGGGAGCCCCCCCACCAACCTGAAGGAGAAGGCGTCGGGCAGGAGGTAGACGCCGTCCCCCACCCGGTACTGGACCCCGTTCTTGGTGGCCACGGCGTAGAACATCTTCCCATCCACCTCCTCCAGGGGCTCGGCCACCTTGGGGATCTCCTTGTGCCTCACCTCGTCCAGGCGCGCGCAGCTCATGCAGAACCTGCCGGAACGGGGCAGGAAACAGGGGGCCTGGAGGTCCTGGAGGGCAGGAAGATCCCGGAATTCCCGGAATTCCCTGTGCCCCGCCCTCACTTGTACTTGTTGTCCTCGCTGGGCTGGGTGTTGGGCGGCGTCTCGAAGCGGGCGTACTCCTGGTCGTACCACATCTGGTAGAAGTAGGTCCTGCCGTCGTCCTCCACCATCTTGATCTCCATGTCCAGCCCGCCCTGCTGGCAAGGAGGGATCACCGGGGTCGGCGGAGTTTCCCCCTGGACCGGGATTATCGGGATACCGGGATGGGCCCCCCCCGGGATCATCACCCACCTCCATGGCCCAGCTCTCCGAGGGCGCCTTGTAGATGACGGTGACCTTGCCGTGGATGTAGGAGAGCTGCATGTCCTCGCACTCGTCCACCAGGAACAGCTCCAGAGGGTCCGAGGTGGCCCCCAGGACCGTGTCGGAGCCGGGGCAGAACCAGTGGGCGTGGAACATCTGCCCGCTGCTGTCCTCCCACAGGGCCGTCACCCTGCGGGGCCAACGGGACGTCAGGGGGGTGTTCCCGCTGGGAATGGGGCCATTGGGGTGGCGTTCCCACCCGGAATGGGGTCACTGGGGTGGCGTTCCCACCTGGAATGGGGCCGTCAGGGCAGTGGGGACACCCACCTGGCCAGGTAGAGGGGCTTGGTGGGGTCGTCGGGGCTCACGGACACGCAGTCTCCCACCTCCAGGGTCTCGTTGTCGATGCAGACCCGCTGGTAATAATCCTTCTTCCCGTCGCTCTGCGGGGCCAAGGGGGTGGTTACACCCACCCAGGAGGTGGTTACACCCACCCAGGGGGGCAGGGGGGTGGTTACACCCACCCAGGGACACGGCCCCCCCGAGAAGGAGGGGAGGGGGGTCCTGCCCGGCCTCACCTGGAGGGGTTCTCCCACCTGGATGGGCTCCCCCACCCGTGGGATCCAACTCTGGTGTCACCTGGATGAGTTTCCCTCACCTGGATGGGGTCCTTCACCTTTGACAGGTTCTCCTACTCTGGTCTCCCCTGGATGGGCTCCCCCACCCAAGAGATCCTACCCTGGTCTCACCTGGATGGGTTCCCTCACCTGGATGGGTTTCCCTCACCTGGATGGGGTTCCCTCACCTGGATGGGTCCCCCCAACCCTGCTCGTGACCTCACCTGGATGGGTTTCCCTCACCTGGACGAGTTCCCCCCACTCTGGTCTCACCTGGTCGGGTTCCCCCACCCCCAGGACCCCACTCCGGCCTCACCTTGATGGGTTCCCCCACCCACGAGATCCGACTCTTGTTCTGCTTCTTCTTCCTGCCCTGGAGCATCTTCTTGGGCGACGGCATCTCGGGGATGTTGTCGTCCACCTCCTCGTCCTCGTCCGCCTCCCGCACGGCCAGGTTGGGACACCTGGGCAGGGGGGTGTCACCAGGGGGGTGTCACCACAGGGGTGTCACCACGGGGGTGTCACCAGGGCCGAGGGGGGCTCAGGGATGAGGATCTGGGGGTGGGACACACCCACCTCCTCTGCAGACAGGCCTGTTTGCTCCTCCCGCTGCCCCCGAACTTCACCATGTTCTGGCAGGCCTTGCACTTGCCACACTCGGGCTGTTGGCACACCTGGAGCGGGACAGGGGACGGGTGACACCGGGAACAACCCCCCCCCGGGACCGGGTTGGCCTCTGGAATGGCCCCATGGAGCGACTGGGAGGTCGGTTGGTCAAGGTAGGAATTGACCTTCAAGATCCACCATTGCACCCAGGATGGGTAAATTTGGTTGGTCACAGTTGGAATTGACCTTTAGGATCCACCATTGCACCCAGGATGGGTTAATTTGGCTGATCAAGGTCAGAATTGACCTTCAAGATCCACCATCGCACCCAGGACAGGTTAATTTGGTTGATCGAGGTTGGAATTGACCTTCAAGATCCACCATCACACCCCAGGACGGGTTAATTTGGTTGATTGAGGTTGGAATTGATCTTCAAGATCCACCATTGCACCCAGGATGGGTTAATTGGGTTGATCAAGGTTGGAATTGACCTTCAAGATCCACCACTGCACCCCAGGACGGGTTGATTTGGTTGATCAAGGTTGGAATTGACCCTCAAGACTGTCCAGCCCAACCCAGGACAGGAAGTTGATGTGGGTTGATTGACGTTGGTTGACCAAGGTTGGAAAAGCCCTTCAAGACCAACCAGGTCCCTTCCAACCTTGACCAACCAACAAGACCATCCAGCCCAACCCAGAACAGGACGTTGACGTGGGTTGATTGACGTTGGTTGACCAAGGTTGGAAAAACCCTTCAAGACCAACAAGCCCAACCCACGACAAGAGGCTGATGCTGATCCAGGTTGGAAAAGCCCTTCAAGTCCAACCAGCCCAACCCACCACCACCCCCCTCACCCCAACCCCGAGCCCCCGGGGAGGCGACCCCCGCGTCGGGCACCTCGCAGACGCCGCAGCGCCGGCGCTTGGTGGAGTTCTCCTTGTCCTCCTCCCGCTCGTCCTTCTCGATCTGCTCCGAGAAGAAGGTGTCGAAGATGTGGTACACCAGCTTGGTGGTGGTGGCCTTGGTGGGCCCCTTGTCCTTGTCGATGCGGGTGGGGTGGCGGATGGCCTGGCGCCGCACGGCTCGCCTGGGACACGGGCACGGCGCTCAGGGGGAGCCCGGGAACGCCGGGAACGGCCCCCGGGGGGGCGCTGGGGCACCTTCGGGGTCCCCCAGGGCAGCACCGAGGGCAAAGGTTGGGTTTTGGGGACCCAACCCGGTGACCAGCACCAGGCACGGGGGGTTTCCCAGTTTTGAGAGGGTTTTCCCAATTTTAGGAGGGTTTTCCCAGTTTTGAGAGAGTTTTCCCGATTTTGGGAGGGCTTTCCTGATTTTAGGAGGGTTTTCCCAGTTTTAGGAAACTCCCAACCCAACCGTCAACCCAACACCCAACCCAACACCCAACCCAACCCTCAACTCAACCCTCAGCCCAACCCTCAACCCAACCCTCAATCCAGCCCTAAACCCAACCCTCAACTCAACCCCAAACTCAACACCCAACCCAATCCCCAACCCAACCCTCAACTCAACCCTCAACTCAAACCCTCAACTCAACCCCCAACCCAACCCTCAACCCAACCCTCAACCCAACTCTCAACTCAACCCCCAACTCAACTCTCAACCCAACCCCAAACCCTCCTCCCCATCGACCTCCCCATCGAGCCCCCGACCCCCGTGCCCCACACCCCCGTGCCCCAAGCCCACCTCTTGCCCAGGGTGACCCCGGCCAGCTTGATGAGGTCCCTCATGCAGGGGGTGATGAGCACGGGGGGCTCGTCGCTGTCCCCGGCCTCGTCGTAGCTCTCCACCTGCTCCACCACGAACTGGGCGTGGCGCAGCAGCGAGTCCTCCGTGAACCGGTTGAAGTTGAGCCCCGCGGGGGGGACGGTGGTCTGGGGGGTCAGGGGAGGGGTCAGGAAGGGCTGGTTGACCCCTCTCACCCCCCTCAGTCGCCCGTTCCCAGAACTGGTGAGTTGGGAAAGGTCCCCGAGGTCGGCGGGTCCCGACCGTGACCTCCTGGGACACCTCCAGGGGTGGGGACTCCACCACCCCCCTGGGCAGCTCATCCCAGTGTTCGACAGCCCTTCCCATGGAAAAATTCCTGCTGGTGTCCAGCCTGACCCTCCCCTTGGGGCACAGCTTGGAATCACGGGATTGGTGAGGGTGGAAAAGCCCCTTTTCCATCTCCAACCCCTTTCCCATGTTCTCCAGCCCCTTCTCCTGCTCTCCAGCCCCTTCTCCTGCTCTCCAGACCCTCCTCCTGCTCTCCAGACCCTTCTCCTGCTCTCCAATCCCTCCTCCTGCTCTCCAGCCCCTTCTCCATGTTCTGCAACCCTTTTTCCACGTTCTCCAGCCCCTTTTCCATGTTCTCCAGCCCCTTCCCCATGTTCTACAGCCCCTTCCTTGGCTCCGTTCCTGCCTCTGGACACATTCGAGCCCCCCAACGTCCGGCCCTGGGGACATCCCTGGGGACATCCCTGGGGACACTGACCCCAACACTGACCCCAACACTGGCCCTGGGG